AAAAAAAAGAGACGGGTTTACTACATATGTGCAGTGTGGGTCAGGAAAGCATAAAATGAAAAGTGGCTCGGTAAATACTTGATCCCTCCCCCAAAGCGAAGATCCCCCGGACTCGCCCATTCCACCACCAGAGAGAGTTGCCAATGAGACTGGGCCTATGTTTTCATTAAGACCATATTCTGCCACAGCTTTGTAAGCCATATCTGTTGCTCGTCTTATGTCGTCAAGAGCACCCGTCGATACACGTCCCGAATATATAAACTCTTCAGCTGCTCGGCCACCGAGAAGCGTGACAAGACGCCCTCGAAGCTCATCCACGAAGAGCAAATACCTATCTTCGTTGGTCGGGGGCGTATAAGTAAATCCAAGAGCTCCTCCGGATCTCGGCAATATGCTCAGCTTCTGATATATGAACAGAATGGCACAAAAAATATTAATCATGTTTCTACTCTTTGGTTCGTAAAGTCAACAGGAGAATCAATAAGAAAAATGAAACTAATAAAGTAAGACCAGATTAAAGTTATTACAAGCACTCCTTTAGAAAAAAAATTTGCTTAACCAATAAAATAAACAAATAAAAAATTACCCAAACAGTAAGCAATTAAAAAAATATAAATATAAAAGGGGTGTACTGACAGTGAAGATATATATTTACTACACTGAACCCTCGAGCATTCTTTTTGCAATTAACTCTTGATTTAATAATATTAAGAAATGTCAAAGACGATGCAACCGCTTGCTTATATTACCTCAACCCGAGGTTGTCCAGAAAGAAGATTTGCAACTGCAGTTCCCACAACTGCATGACCAGCTTCATGTCGTGCAACAACAGCTTTCTCACTACCCTGTAACTTGGCCGTCTTCTTTTCAATACCCTGCAGCGTAAAACACAAGTATTAAGAAACAAAAACCAAGAACAAGTTAATACAAAATATATACACGACTGTATGGTTGGATTTATCTCGCTTGTCTAGGATATTGCATTGATAACAAGCTATAACCTTACATCACAATTCCCCAGCAGTGTGTCAAGCAACATTCTATGAAACTGAATATCCTGGTATGGCAAATTTTGAGAATTCCCACAAAACTGAAACGGAACTTCTCATGACGTTTGATTTATATATATCATAGGATTCTTACACATAATGCTACTTTTTTCTGACGAGCAGTTACCATATCAATATGTAAAGTCATAGATTGATCAAGAGTTCAGGTATTTAATGCTCATATTGTAGACTTGGGATTGGGTATTCCACAACCCTTCACTGATCATCTGTTTGAAAAAATAATCTAGGTGCTAGGTGGCCACCAGACTCCACGGTTTTGGCAAAAGTCGTCCATTCAGCATCATGTGTAGTGATAACTAATTTTAACCCTAAAAGATTTACATCTAAAATCACGATCTTTTCGGGCCATTGCTGCCTAGTCTGCCAAACCAGGCAGCAACATATATTTCTGACTAAAGAGAATCCCAAATGGTCCACAAAGAAAATAGGAAGAAGGGGGTGTACCGCTATTGACCGCTCCACGGCTTCAATGAAATCGATTTTCTCCACCACAGATTTATTATTCCGTCCAGCCAATAAGGCGGCTTCATTTACCAAATTTGCAAGATCTGCCCTGCACAACAACCAAAAGATGGGAAGAAATCACTTAAAATTTCATGCTATGGTAACGAAGACGCATCAGTGGAAGCGAACAATGAAATTACCCAGTAAAGCCTGTCGTCATTGAGGCAATATCACCGAGGTCAACATCCTTGCCTAGAGGAAGTTCTTTCTTGGACACGTGTACATCTAAAATGGCTCCTCTCCCAATACGATCAGGAGTTTCAACCTGAAGACCAAATAATGAATCTCAGACATACAGGTAAAGCTAAAATTTGTGGGAATCTTAAATTAAATAACCCAAACTAGCCAACTCACCATGACAACTCGGTCAAATCTACCCGGTCGACGGAGGGCGGGATCTAAAACATCTGCTCTATTAGTTGCGCCAAGGACTATCACAGCTGAATTACTATCAAATCCATCCATTTCCTGCGTACATAGTTTCGAATAAGCTTGTTTAGCTAAAGAAAACAAAAAAATGGTAAAAGAAAACCAAGATTCAGAAACCATACAGTGAGAAGCTGATTCAAGGTCTGTTCCCGCTCATCATTACTCACGACACGTAACTTACCATCGCGGCTCTTGGCCACAGCATCTATCTGTGAAATCAGGAAGAATACTTAATGAGGGGATTGCACATTGATTGGATAAACATTTTTTTGGTTTTGATTTGATTTATTGGATAAAGTGAGTTAATTTTGAATAGAGTTGATTAAGTGGAGATTTGAGTGGGATTTTGATGTAATGATTGAAGTGATGTGATGTAAAAGTAGGAGAGAAGTTATCGGAAAAGATAGGTAGTTAAAAATATGCGAGTGGATGAATAGTGATGTGTGAGAATGATTGTGATTGATATTCTTTAATTATATTGACAATATTGAGGAGAGTTAAGTTGGATTAAAGTTGAGTTAGATTTTGAGTTAAAAAGCGTGAAAAAAAACTACCCGGCCAGTCAAAACCGGTTAAAATTTGTAGCCAATCGCACCAGGCCAAAAACTAGAAAAGTCAACAGAAAGGGATGAAGAGGAACCTCGTCTATGAATATGATGGAGGGAGCCTCCTTCTTTGCCCGTGCAAAAAGGTCTCTAACACGAGATGCACCCATACCAACATACAGTTCTACAAATTCACTAGCAGTACAGCTAATGAAAGGAACATCAGCCTCACCAGCAACGGCTTTGGCTAACAATGTCTTACCTGTTCCTGGGAGCCCCACCTGTTACAAATGAGACATGGAATCAAATTATATTCAATTCTGTCCTCACTCATGGAATTCTATGCAAAGGAAAAATGAAACAAAATACACTGAATGTGAAGAAAATGATGGAACAGAACAAACCCTACTCTAAATATTTGTTGTTGATCATTTTTAGGCAAGTGCATATAAATAAATACAGGAAACACATTTTCTTTTGAATTGATCATCTGAAACACCAGAGCAACTGAATTAACATACCATTATCAACTTAATAGAAGACAACTCACCAATAAAACACCTCTCGGAGGGCGTGCACCAAGTTTTACATATCTATCTGGGTTCCTCAGAAATTCCTGTCCGGCCAAATGCAGTATTAAAGAATAAACATGAAATCATAAAAGCAACACTAACTTCATGGTGTACCAGATACCCATTTTCTAGAATTTGAGCAAATTAAGCCAAATTGTTGAGGAAATCTTAGTATACCACAATATCTTCCAGCTCTTCCTTAGCCTCATCAACTCCAGCAACATCATCAAAGGTAATATTTTCCCCTTGTTCGGGAACTGTAGGTTTTCCAGATTTTCCAGACTTGCGGTTCCTAAGCTGTCCTGTTGTATTCTGTATATTTGAAGGGGTCAGAAAAGCTATGCTCATCACACTGTCCATTAGGAACAGATGTGAGTATGTGACTGCAGTAACAGGTCGTACCAGAGAGAAACTCAGAGGGAAACGATGAAGAAGACCAGCTAGCACCGCAACATAGAATAAAGTTATCTATTGAACCAACAAATCGTTAGTCTCTCAAATAAAACAAGATACAATATATGGATCTATTAAGTGGAGCATCTACATCTGTACCAAAAGCACTAAATAACAGCATAATATTGACGAGGAAGATATTGACAACTCACCAATGCAGAATTCAAGAACCCTCCTGACCGCTTATCCGGAGACCCAAACTCAACATCATTCTCTAACATCTTTTCATATGGTGTCCTGAAATCAATTGGCCTGGTTGTGGTGTATACTACTCTCTTAGTGGGGGGCACACTCCTCAACAGAGAATCTGATTCCAGCAACTTACTACTGACCTCACCAGAAACACTCTCCAGGATCCTAGCCTCACTCCTCAATTTAAACATAATGTGCACACCATCAACCTCCACTTTCTGCACTTGATTACTATTGATCTTACTCAAAAACTCACTATAAGGAACACTGACAAATGTGGTAGGTGTCCTCGGCTCCGAGCCCGGAAGCGGAATCCCAGGCCTAAGTAATCTCATCACAAACATCACAATCCCTAATTGTATGAGTAAGACACCCATCTCTTGGGCTTGAACAATTGGTTGCCACCTCCATTTACTACTACTATTGTTCCACCAGTTGTCCTTCCCCTGCTTTTCCCTCCGGCCCGAACCTGAACCAGTGCCCTGTTTTTTGGGGCTTTCGGTCCCACTTGTTTCAGCTTTATCGGTCGAGTCGGTGTCGTGTTCCCGAGGACTGTTGGCATAGATTTTGGCAAACTTCCAGTCCCGGTGATTGTTCAATAGGAAACCTCGATGCTTCAAGTTTCTATTGTGCCAATGGAAGGATGTCGTATAGTTTTGCAAAAGACTGGGTTTCCCATAGAAACCCCGATATCGGCAACAAACGAGATTACAATTGTGCAGGTAGTTGGAGTTATTTAATCTAAACGTCGATATTCGTCGGTGGAATATTGATGTGTCTATCATGGCTGCCATTATCAGGGCCGGCCCTGTAGATTAATAAGCCTGAAGCTGCGTTCAGAAAAGTTGCCCAAATTTTGTAAATGGAATAGATATCTGAAAAGTTAATGCATTATCATCACAATTCTGGAGCTATGGGCATATAATTCTTT